AGAGTTTTTTGAAGCAATTTTTCGTCAAAAAAAAATAAAAAAAAAAAAAAAGAATGGCTTTACATTTTTAAATGGTTGGGAGGGAGTGGGGGAGGGAGGATTGAAAAAATATTTCATGACATATGAAAATTATCTGAAATTCAAACTGCAGTGTCCATATATAAAGGTTTTCTGGAACGGAGCCAATATTTGTGTATCCTCTACAGCTGCTTCCCCATTCCAACAGCAGGGATGAGTGGTTATAACAGAGACCATCTGTGGCCCACAAAGCCTAAAATATTTACTATTTGTACCTTTACAGAAAAAGTCGGCTGCCCTCTATCCCATGGTCCCCCTTTTCCTGTGAAGGACAAGTCAGACCAAAGAAGCATATGTCACAGGCTGAGGAGCTGTTGGGCCTGCCTCTCACTGGCCCCGCAAGCAGTCTGGGGCTTGGCCTCGTCCTATGGGAAATGAGTCCATACACCCAAGATTGAAATAGAAAATTCCCTAACACTGGAACCTCTAATCTAAAAGGGAATGACCCATTTAAGCTCACATTTATGGGACACTTACCATGGACCAGACACCATGCAAAGTGCTGACTTGCAGCAACTCTTTTAATCCTCAAAACAATCCTGGGACATAAATACCTTATTAAGACTATTTTACAGCTGAGGAAACTGAGGTTAGAGGGGGTAACTAGTTCAGGTCTACACAGCTAGGAAGCGGCAGAGATGAGGTTTAAACCCATGCTGTCTGGCTCCAGGGCTCATGCTCTAAACACTCTGGATGTGGCTCCAAAAGATCTGAGCTTTTAATGCCGGCACACTGGGATTAAATGGGTTTAAACAAATTTATATATGTAAAGTACTGAGTGTAGTTCCTGAGATGTTGTATGTGCCCATAAGTGTTAGCTTTTATTAATTACTATAAATTTTTACCTTATTCCTTATTCCTTGAGTTTTTATCTTCACTGGCAAGATGGCCTTATCAAAACCCTATATTATATATATATCCTGTATATTAGATATATATATCCTATATTATATATATACCCTATGTATCCTGCATACTAGATAATTTATCATTTACAAGATCCCCACAGAGAAACTGAAATGCTTTTGTTAGGCAAACAAAGCATAGCATCTAATATTATATCCCTTAGTGGCTATTAAAAAATTCAATGGGGGGCTTCCCTGGTGGCGCAGTGGTTGAGAGTCCGCCTGCCAATGCAGGGGACACGGGTTCGTGCCCTGGTCCGGGAAGATCCCACATGCCACGGAGCGGCTGGGCCCGTGAGCCATGGCCGCTGAGCCTGCACGTCTGGAGCCTGTGCTCCGCAACGGGAGAGGCCACAACAGTGAGAGGCCCGCATACCGCAAAAAAAAAAAAAGAAAAATTCAATGAGAGTTTTAAGTTGTCATTTTTTAAACCTACAGTCATTGTCCTCAGTCAGCTCAGGCTTCCTCAACAAAATACTATAGACTGGGTGCTTACGCAGCAAACATTTACTTCTCACAGTTCTAGAGGCTAGGAAGTCCAGGATCAAGGTGCTGGTCAATTTTGGTACTGGTGAGAGCACTCTTCCTGGCTGGCAGATGGCTGCCTTCTCACTGTGTGCTCACATGGCCTTTCCTCTGTACAGGCAAAGATAAAGAGATCTCTCTTCCTCATCTTACAAAAACACTAATCCCATCATGTGGGCCCCACCCTCATGACCCAATCTAACCTTAATTACTTCCCCAAGGCCCCATCTCCATCACACTGGGGGTTAGGACTTCAATACATGAATTTTGGGGGGACATAAACATTCAGTCCATAACAGCAATGAATATAGAATTACAGAAATGCATGAACATGTAAATGGATACATATGTTGTTATACAGGTTACCACAGTAATAATAAAAAAAGGATTTATGGGGGCTTCTCTGGTGGCGCAGTGGCTAAGAGTCTGCCTGCCGATGCAGGGGACGCGGGTTCGTGCCCCGGGCCGGGAAGATCCCACATGCAGCGGAGCAGCTGGGCCCCTGAGTCATGGCCCCTGAGCCTGAGCGTCCGGAGCCTGTGCTCCGCAACGGGAGAGGCCGCAGCAGTGAGAGGCCCACATACCGCAAAAAAAAAAAAAAAGAAAAGGATTTATCATGATCTTTAAAAAAATTAGCTTTGGGGGGATGTGCTTATGTTATGTAAATATAATATCACTGGTGGTAATTTATACATACAATCAGCTATGCAATATAAAGATATTCACAGAAGAAAAACTGGGAGGAAACAACAACACAATGTAATCTCTGGGTGGTAGAACTATGAGTCATGTCTATTTTCTTCTCTATTTTTTTAATTGTCTACAAAGAATACAAATCCCATACATAACCAGGAAAACATGGTCTCTTTTAATGCCCTATTGAAGGACAACCTAAAAATTACGTGTACTTTATTTATCGGCAGAGTATTTATTAACATGAGTCCTTTTATTTTTTTGGCCACACCGCACGGCTTGTGGGATTTTAGTTCCCCAACCAGGTATTGAACCTGGGACCTCAGCAAGCAGAGCACGGAGTCCTAACCACTGGACCACCAGGGAATTCCCCTCCTTTGTCCTCTTTGACTCTCTGATCTCACTACCATAAAAAAGAATTGGTGGAAAGACAAGCAACTGTAAAGCCAAGTATGCTCACCAAAATGAGAATACAGGGATCATGTAAGCAACACAGACAGTGGGTAAACTCTTGGGTCAGTGCTGGCTGTATGGGGGAGGGCACACACTTTGTTTTTGGAAAAATGACAGGAGTGGCAAAGAGGGGCAGGCGACAGGGTAGGGCAGACCTGGGAAACAGAGCAGTATACAGACAGAGGGGCTGGAGGTCAGAAAGGGTGGCCTAGGAATGTCACGTAGATCAATGTGCCTGAAGCCTGGCAGGAGAAATGGTGAGAGATTAGGCTGGGGACCAGAGCACAGATGGGCTAGAGACTTCTCAAATTTTTCTGATACCCACATTAAGAAATATTTTGCACATCAGGACCAAGGAAATACACACACACCTACACAAAACGAAAAATTTTTCACCAAAAATACTTATCCTTACATTTACCATATGAATGTGTGTAACCAGTGTTTATAGACCAAAATGGAAATTTTTCAGATTTAGATATCTGGTACTCCTTGCAATAATAAAATATTCTCAGAATATATTTAAAAATGGCCTTGGAAATTATTTTATTTCAAGAGATTTTTTTTTTTTTTTTTTTTGTGGTACGCAGGCCTCTCACTGTTGTGGCCTCTCCCATTGCGGAGCACAGGCTCCAGATGTGCAGGCCCAGCGGCCGTGGCTCACGCGCCCAGCCGCTCCGCGGCATGTGGGATCTCCCCGGACCAGGGCACGAACCCGTGTCCCCTGCATTGGCAGGCGGACTCTCAACCACTGCGCCACCAGGGAAGCCCAAGAGATTTTTTTTTTAATTTGAGCAAATAATAAACGGACAAGCTTAAGCTTCAGACTTCATGAATGACTAATTCCTTGGGAATTAGTACATGGGAAATAAAAATTTGCAAAAACAGCAACAAAAATGGTTTTAGCCCTCTATAAAGATACATGCTAGCAAGATAACATGATGATAAAAATGTTTCCTTTATTTAAAGCAGAACCCCTTTAAAACCTGATATAGGGACAAAGATATACGCTGTATCTAAAAGAAGAATAAGAGAATCTCTAGAGATATAGAACAGAGCTTAAGTAAAGTACTCACTTCATGCTTACCGGAAGGACAGGGGTCAAATCTGTAGCGAGAGCATTTTACTATTTCTAGTTAATCCTATAACTCTTGTATAATAATACAAACTCTGGATGTGTGAAAAATATCATCAAACACAACAGGAAAAAGTAATTAGATGCAAAGAATAAGCAATAACCTTGAAACTGAGCCCCTCTCAGTTCAGAAAAAGAATTAAAATTTTCTTCTGCAGCACATATGAGAGACTCTGAAAAAGTCCCTATCCACCACAAACAATAAATGCTGGAGTGGGTGTGGAGAGAAGGGAACCGTCTTGCACTGTTGGTGGGAATGTAAATTGACACAGCCACTATGGAGAACTGTATGGAGGTTCCTTAAAAAACTAAAAATAGAACTACCATATGACCCAGAAATCCCACTACTGGGCATATACCCTGAGAAAACCATAATTCAAAAAGAGTCATGTACCACAATGTTCACTGCAGCTCTGTTTACAATAGCCAGGATATGGAAGCAATCTAAATGTCCACTGACAGATGAATGGATAAAGAAGATGTGACACACATATACAATGGAATATTACTCAGCCATAAAAAGAAACTAAACTGAGTTATTTGCAGTGAGGTGGATGGTTACCTAGAGTCTGTCAGACAGAGTGAAGTAAGTCAGAAACAGAAAAACAAATACCGTATGTTAACACATATATATGGAATCTAAAAAAAAAAATGGTTTTTAAGAACCTAGGGGCAGGACAGGAATAAAGACAGACGCAGATGTAGAGAATGGACTTGAGGATACGGGGAGGGGGAAGGGTAAGCTGGGATGAAGTGAGAGAGTGGCATGGACATATATACACTACCAAATGTAAAATAGATAGCTAGTGAGAAGCAGCTGCATAGCACAGGGAGATCAGCTTGCTGCTTTGTGACCACCTAGAGGGGTAGGATAGGAAGGATGGGAGGGAGACCCAAGAAGGAGGAGATATGAGGATATATGTATATGTATAGCTGATTCACTTTGTTATAAAGCAGAAACTAACACACCATTGTAAAGCAATTATACTCCAATGAAGATGTTAAAAAAAAAAAAGTCCCTATCCAAAATTATAACAGAACCAAAACCAGGAAAGTGAGTTCAGAGAGGCCATCTATAGGAAACCAACAAGATGTCTAAGACATTCATTCCTTCCAAGATCATCCACTCACTAAGACAACAGCTTTTAAACTGGAAATTGTTTCCCTAATTGCATCCTTTCTCAAGTCACACAACAGTGCTCCTTCAAAAGGTTTATGAAGTATTCCAAAGGGTCACGTTCCTGGCATGAAAGTGGTGAGCCTTGCCAAGTGGCCCCAGAAACATTGGACATGACACCTCTAGTGGAAGCTACGCCCATCGGCCATTCCAGGGCCAGACCCGGCATTGTTGAAGACTCAGCCCTGGCAAGGGGATGACCTAGGTGATGAGTTCCTCTGCCCAATTCACCTGGTCCTGAAAGTCAAGATTGTCTATGGAAAGGAGGCGCTACAGCTGGAAGGTCTGGGAAGACCCAAAGAGACCAAGTGACTCCTGGAAAAGGTCAGGGGAGAATCTTAACCCCAAGAAATGTTCAGGTATTTTCCCAAACCAGATCAGCTGTTGGGAGGAGGAACAGAGGAAGAGAGAATGGAGTCCTTAGGATTTCCCCTAGAGAAGGACAAGGCTAGAGAGAGACAAACAAAAAGCTCTAGTTTTCTGGGGTTATAATTAACATAGGGTAATTACAGGACCATTCTTATGAAAATCTCCTTTCTACTCAAGGCCTTGGGCAGGAGCTGTGATAACATTCCTGAGGGTTCTACACGTACTTTCAGTGACTAACCTCAGCCACTAGAAGGCCCAAGGCACCTTTCACACCTACTCCTGAGACTGCAAATTGCTCTGGACTTTTTCTTAACTCTTTTTCATTAATGGATGCCCAGAAGATCATTTCTCTTTTTTATTAACACAGGGTCATGGGGGAAGGCAAAGTACTGAGACACTGGAATTTGTTCTTAAACTTCTAGGAATACCGCTGGTCCCTTCCCTTGAGCTTGCAGAACTATTTGTTGTTTACAATGTGGAGGGGTAGACAGTGAAAATAACCTCTCTGCCCACAGGGACAGAAGAGGGAAAACTCCATGCTCTCTAGGGCAGTGGCTTTCCACCAATATGCAACGGTCATCCAAATTGCAGGCTTTCATAATAATTACTAGGAATTTGCCCGCCTTCAGTACCCACTGTCCAGATGCAGAAGTACCCGGCCTTCTCTTGTCATCTGTCCTAACAAATTGAAGTTCTTTACCTATAGTCTTAAAGATGTTTAGTGGAAAATTAACACTCAAGAGCACTATAATAATTTTTAACTATGAAACAAATTTTTTGTGTGTGAGTTCTAAAGTTATAGCAATAAAACTTATTCCCATCAGTACAATTCTATGTTCTTAACACTGTCATTATATCAGAAGCCCTGTAAGCATGTAAATGTTATCTTCTTTAAAAAGTTGGTTTCTTATGTGAGATCTACATAACTGACAGAGCGATGGGTGGGCTGAGAACCACTCTCTTAGAGGAAGGCTGTCAATCCTCTTTTAGAGAGAAGCACTGATAACCCTCCTTCCTGGAATGAAATGTGAGAATTTCTATACGGTGAGGTCTGAACTTGAATTCATGGCTTAAAACTATCACCTCCAATAAAGACAGGAAAAAAAACAAGGAGAAAAGGGGATTCTGAACAGTATTTTACACAGAGAATTAATTTCTAAAAACTAGCCAAAGGGCTTCCCTGGTGGTGCAGTGGTTAAGAATTGGCCTGCTAATGCAGGGGACACGGGTTCGGGCCCTGGTCTGGGAGGATTCCACATGCCGCGGGGCAACTAGGCCCGTGAGCCACAACTACTGAGCCTGCGCGTCTGGAGCCTGTGCTCTGCAACAAGAGAGGCCGCGATGGTGAGAGGCCCGCGCACCGCGATGAAGAGTGGCCCCCGCTTGCCACAACTAGAGAAGGCCCACACACAGAAACGAAGACCCAACACAGCAAAAATAAATAAAATAAATTAATAAACTCCTACCCCCAATATCTTCAAAAAAAAAAAAAAAAAATAAAAAACCCCCCCCCCCAAATTTCTAAAAAAAAAAAAAAAAAAAGAATCAGCCTGCCAATGCAGGGGACATGGGTTCAAGCCCTAGTCCAGGAAGAACCCACGTACCGCAGAGCAACTAAGCCCGTGTGCCACAACTACTGAGCCTGCGCTCTAGAGCCTGTGAGCCACAACTACTGAGCCTGCATGCCACAACTACTGAAGCCCGCGCACCTACAGCCCATGCTCTGCAACAAGAGAAGCTACCACAAGAAGCCCACACACCACAACGAAGAGTAGGCCCCCCTCACCACAACTAGACAAAGCCTGTGTGCAGCAATGAAGACCCAACGCAGCCCAAAAAAACAAAACTAGTCGAAGATATATTCTTAGGTCTCAAATCTATGGAACTGATATTATTGAGTTATAATTAATGTTATACATTTTCCAAACATAAACGTCCACATGACGGCTACATTTGCGAGGGTCTTACTGGAATCCGTGCATGAAGACCCCAGACACATTTCTGCAGAGCCATCCCAATGTTGCCTTCTAGGCAGCTGCAAAAAAAAATACAACCCAAAACTCCACTGCCTTGTGTGGCCAGAGACCTAAATGAAATCAGATCAGACCTAATTAAGAATACATTATGTCCCCACCCTAACCCACTTCCCATCCTTCTCTCTCTTTTTCTCTCTCTCATAGAAATCTGGATTTATGAACTGCCTTTAAAAAGTATTTAATTCCTCCATGTTTG